CAAGGGAGAAAACAGCATTAATGACTAGGTCACATGCAAAGAGTAGTAGTAAGCAAACGAACAAAAACTCTTGAAATTTGTCCCTAACACTGGGTCTGAATCATCCGTCACTATCTTTGTCCCAGGTTCTTCAATTCACAGCCTTTCTCAGCCGGGAGAGGCCCTAGAGATCATTTAGTTTAACTGCTTCCCCGAAGATGGGTAAACTGAGGCCAGAGAGGTGCGGTGCCTTCCCCACGGTCACACGCCTGCTTCGTGGAAGCACCAGGCTGAGATCTGCTGAGAAGGGCCTTCCTCGAGCCGTCCGCTGCTTTTCCCCGCTCCTCTACGTTTTAATATCCTCCCTTCAAACCCTGACTTGCTTTTCCACAAAGCTGCGTACGGGCAGAAAGCAGCGAGCGAGCTGAGCTGGATGGAGAGGGCAGAGGACGCCCCGGGAGGAAAGCGGACGCTGGAAACCGCGCTCTGGCTCCACCTAGCGGGGAGCGCGCGGGCGACAGGGAGGCACCGCGCACCGCCCGGCCCCGCGCGCCCTCCCCGGACCTACGTGACTGTCGCTCCCCTTCCAGAAGTAGAAGGCCGCGATGGTCCCGAAGAGCAGCAGCACCGCCCCCGAAATGAGGATCACGGCTCCGGCCTTGAGCAGCCGCGCGGGGCTGGAGGGCTTCACGGTCACCGCGGCGTACGCCTGCGGGCGGGGTCGGGGGCGGGAGGGACGGTCACGTCTGCGCCCCGCGCGCACGCACCGGTCCCCGCGCGGCGCCCGGGGGACTGGGGTGCGTGTGTGTGTGTGTGTGGGGTGGGGGGAGAGATGAGCAGCTCGCCCCGCGCTCCCTCCCGCGGTTCCCTGGTACTCAGGTTTGGATGTCCCATAAGCGATAGGCAAACTTTGCGGGGGGCAGGGCTGTCACCCCTGGATCTGCAGCCCCCGCCGGCCACAGAACGACCCTTCCCCCCACTCCCTTATCATCCTCCTCTTCACACCTATCTGAGAATCCCGTGGCCCCTGCGTCACCCCAGACACGTTTGGGCGCCCCAGTTTGCCGCCCCCCCACCCATTCGGTAACACAAATCCCTGACAGTGGACCCGGACCCCCGCGAAGCCCGGGCCCTGCGTGCGGACTAAGCCGGCCGCCAGACTCGGGACCCCGGAGCGTACTCACCGGGGGACTGCCCAACTCCACGTCGTCAGGCCCCACCAGCGCGATGGGGACTTTGTCGCAGTTCTCTGCCATGGCTGCGGGGCGAAGGAGCGAGGCCCTGCGAGGCTCCGAGCGCGCCCTGGGTTCTGTCCTGCTGCCCGGACGTGCAGGGCTTTTCAGCTCCGCACAAGCGCGCGCACCGTGCCCGTCCCGCCCGGGGCCAGCCCTGCGGTCCCCACCCGGGCCAGCCCAGCGGCCCCCACCCCCTCCCGCGCCTCACCTCTCTCCTCCCGCCTCTCTCCGGCAGGAGCAGCAGTGCGAGCTCGTCCTGTATTCGGGACTCACCTTCTCGCTCTCTTGTCTGCTCACTCCCCCTACGTGCCCCCCTAAAAACCTGGTAAACCCGAATGTGTCGTGGGTACAGGCTCTTTCCACCATCCGAGGGGCTCTTAGAGCGTCAGAGGGCTCTACTGTGACACCTGAGGGCCCATTTCCTGCACCTGGCTCGTGTGTGTTGGGAGCCGGCAGAGCAGGGCAGAGAGGGGAGCAGGGTCGTGCAGGTGGACAGGATCGCTGGCCAAAGTGGCAGGGTTCGCACCCACCTAGCATTGCTGGGCGGCCCCTGGGACTAGAGCATGGAGCAGGGGCTTAGAGATGGCCCCTTGTCCCCAGTGTCTCTAGGAGGTTTAGGAGGAGGGTAGAGCTGCAGCAAAGATGAAGGCCAAGCAGCGGGGGCTGGAGAGAAGGAGCTGGGGAGACCGGAGTCAGAGTGCTTTCTGGTTGGTTTTCTGAGTTAAACAAGCGAAACAGCAATGGCAACTGCCCCCCCCAAAGAATCCCCCCAATGATATGGCCAAAGGACATGTCTGTGTGTGCGTGTATGTGTGCGTGTGTGCGCGCGTGCGCATGTGTACGTGTGCGTACGTGTGTGCGTGTGTGCATGTGTGTGCGCGCGCGCGTGTACGTGTGCGTATGTGTGCATGTGTGCGCGTGTGCGTATGTGTGCGTGTGTGCGCGCGCGTGTACGTGTGCGTATGTGTGCATGTGTGCGCGTGTGCGTATGTGTGCGTGTGTGCGCGCGTGTACGTGTGCGTATGTGTGCATGTGTGCGCGTGTGCGTATGTGTGCATGTGTGTGCGTGTGTGTTTTTTAAGCAGAACAGGAGTGGGTTTTCTCACTTTTGGGAACGCCATCTGCCAGTATCAGGATGGTGTGGTCCCTCCTTTGGACGGAAGCTTCGCTAATTCCCACTGGGTGCTAGCTTTGTGCAGAGTCCTCCGCTGAGGAGAAGGGGGGTTGCTTGGGAGGGACTGAGGCTTCTCCATCGCAGAGTGTTCGGATAGGCGGGACTCAGCGGCAGGAAGTGGTTGACTGTGAGGGGGTGCCGATGAGAGGCACGACGTGTGCCAAGCACGATGCCGGTGGGGGTGGGAGGATAGGGAAGCAGACTTCCACAGGAGACTCTCTAGGACTTGGCAGGCTGGGGCCACTAAAGTTTCAGGCCGTTGGGGAGGGAACATTAATTTTCCTCCTACCCTTCTAAGTTCTTCTGGCTGGACTAATAGTCAAAGTAGCATGCGACAGATTAAAAGGAGAAAATAACCCAAATTATTCTGTACGTACATACAGGGGTTCCATAGGAATGTGGTAGATGGGGTAGTTGAAGCTCATATGCCATCTGGAGGTGAGACGAAGTCGGGGGTGTGCGTGCGTGCTGCGCTTTGGGACTTCAAGGGGCAGGAAGGCAGTTCACACGAAGCAGGAAAAACAGATGTTTGTGAGTAGATGTCTGCTGGGCCATCTTTGACAATGGGACACACAGGGCTTTGATGAAATGGGCCTCGCTAGGTTCCCCGCTGTCTGTCACACTCAGACTGTAAACCATCGTGATCTATGATGAGAGCTACCTTCCTGGAGCTGGTCCTCTATCGAAATACTTTTAGGCTGCAAGGTTTTTTTTGTTGTTGTTGTCTCTTGTCTCTTGGAAAGAACTAGCTTAAAATAATCAATATCCCAAAGGGCATATTTTGGGGTGGCCAAGTCTGCTCCCACTCAGGGCCCAGGAGGCTCGGGTGAGTGGGAGGATCGGGAGAGGAGATTGGGAGAAGTGGTTTTGAGTGAGCGGCTATGGTAAGACCGATTTGAGACACGTTGAACTTGATATAGGACGTGGAGAGGAACGGGGGTGGGGGGAACATTCTGCACCCGCCTTGAATTCAGACAAGGGACACTAGTCTGCACATGCCACTAGATGTCAGGTGCCAGAAGCCCCCTTGGGGACACCAGCTAGGGCTGGTACCCAGGGCACTGCTGGGGCAGAGTTCAACGACCTCCTTTCCCAAGGGCACTTGTCACATGCATTTCAGAAGGGAAAAGAGAAGTCGCAGTCAGAGGAGTGAGAGACAATGCAAGATAAAGCCATGATGGAAAAACAAACGTAGAATTCCAGACGGGTCAGCAGAGCCAAATGCTAAAAACATGGAAGCAAACGTACACAGAACGGCCTCCGGATGTCACCATTAAGAGGGCAGAGGAGCCAGTAAGCCACTTGCCTTATTGGGCACAGAAGACATATTGCAAAGGGTCATAGAGTGACTAACAATATTTGCAGCTCGTATCACAGACCAGGAGCTAGTTTTCTTACAGAGAGAGTTCTTAGGAGTCGTTAAAAGACCAACAACGTAACAGAGAAATGAGCAAAGGATAAGAACAGACAGTCCACAGAAAGAGAAATTCAAATGACTCTTAAATAGAAAAATGCTTGACCGCGTGCATAAAAAGAAATACAAATTAAGTGTTCTTTTTCACCTATCAGACTGGCAACAATAAAAACACTCGTTAAAACAATCTGTTGGCGTGTGTGCAGAGGAACAAGGCCCTCCCATATAGTGCTGGGGGCGGGTGAATCTGTACCACTTTTATGGAGAGAAATTTAATTCCAAAATGCAAATGCAATTTCATTTCTGTGGATTTAGCCCACAGATGCACTCACAGGGGTGGAAAAATCCTATATATGCAAAGACACTCATTGTGGCATGATTATTAGAACAAAGGACTAGAAACATCTTCAGTGTCCACAGCAGAGAATTTATGGTATATATGCACAGAGGGTTCTTGGCCGCCGTTTGAAAGAATAAAGCGACTTTGGATATACTCATGCAGAACTTTCGAAGAGATTTTAAGTGAAAAAAAGCCAAGAGTAGAAAAAGTGCATAAATGCCTCTCTTTGTATAAAAAAAAAAATGCAAGCACGTATGTATGTACGCCTGTGCTCTCTGCAAACATACACACGGTGCTTGTAGCAGGGGAGGGCTGGGGGGCTGGGGGTCATCGATGGAAGGTAGAGGCTTCATTGTGTACCTTTCGGAGTGTTTCACATCCTGTATTGTGCGAACGTATTAACTCTTCAAAAAACAAATGAATAAAATAATAAACGTGGTGGGCGGAGAAGAAGTGAGAGCTGCAAATGGAGCCGGTCGTCTCAAGCACTTGCGGGGGAGAAGAACATAAGGAACCACAGCTCGAGGGAGCGGGAGGATCGGGGAAGGTCCCCCCCAAGCCGCTCAGGTTGGAAAGATGCTGAAGGCTGAGGGAAGTGGCAGGGACAATAGACGAGAGAAGAGAAGATGGGTCCGAAGCGAGCAAGAGGAACCTTGAGAAGGAGGGAAGGCCTGGAGGGAGTAAGCGATGAGACCAGTGCTGGGGACGCAGGGACCCCGAGGAGAGACGCCCAGGAGAGGGCGAGGAGGTCACTGGGGGGTTGGGGGGTGGGGGGACGCAGGGCTCTGCCTCCTTCACAGACGACACGCGGGCACCGAGTGCAGGCAGCGCACAGAAAGCAGCTGACGGCGGCACGAGGGACCAGGCCGAACACGGAGACCGGTCGCATCCTCTGAGCGCGTTTTCCTGAAGTGGCGTATTTTCATCAACTTTAATGTGTCTGCGTGATGATGGTCAGGAGAGATGCACAGATGAGCGGCAGCAGCAGCAGCAAGGGAGCAAAACCGCGAGGTCCCCGTGGAGGGGACCAGAGAGGCGCCCACCCTTCCCCTCTGCCCGCTCCCCTGCCGGACCGATCTTGAGGCTCATGGCTCTGCCCTCCTGGCAGGCACTGTGCCTGCTCCGGACACGCAGCCGCAGCAAACGCTACGTGGTCCCCGCTCTTGAGGAATTTCTCAAGCAGTGGAAAAGACAGTCATGAATGGGGAATCACCAAATAATGGTGTCGCCGCGCGTGTGATAAATGATATCGGGGAAAAGCGCAGGCCGCCCTTAATAATATGACATCTACTCACAGCCGGTGGCCAAGGGCTCAGCACCCGAGGAAGTGATGCTGCAGCTGAGAACCCGAAGAAGAATCGGGATTTTCCAGGTGGACATGGGCGAGGGCGTGGGAAATACGGCGGGCCGTGGGTCAGAGGCCCGCGAGGAGGGCAAGAGTTTGGCACTTGAAAGAAGAAGAAGAGGCTGGATGACAGGGAATGACAGCCGGACGGCAGCAGGCGCGGAGCGGAGAGGCCGTAATGTCTGCAGATGGGGCCGGGGCGAGGGTTCCGACATGTTCCCTTAGGGCGGCGAAGTCGCGAAGGGGTTCGCCGCCTCGTGGAATGGCGAGGTCGGGTCTGCGTTTTAAAAGCATGAGTTTGGCCACCGTGGGGTAAAAGGGTTCGATCGGAGGGGGCGAGGGTGGAAGGGGTCGGCGTCTCAGGAGGGTCTCGCCGTGGGCCAGGCGAGAGGAGACGGCGGCGACCAGAACCCGGATACTTGTGAATGGGGGTGAATGGATGGGTCTGGGCTCTGCTTCAGAGGGGCAGTCGACACACTCCGGAGGCGGGCTGAGCGGGAAGGTGCCAAGAATCTCTGTCAGCACTGGACAGACTCAGAGGAGGACGGAGGGCACACAGCGACTGGGCGTGTCGTTCCGTGTTCTCCAGAGAAACAACCAATACGGTGCGTATAGATAGAGAGAAAGAGATGTATTGTGACGGATTGGCTCACACACTGCTGGAGGCTGAGAAGCCCCACGGTCTACCTCTGCGAGCTGGAGGCCCAGGAGAGCAGGTGCTGACAGTCCCACCTGGAGACCCGAAGGC